ACCTTTAAGAGTTTCTTTTTATTACGAAATCATTTCGGGAAGCTCCTGCATACGAGCACTTCCGCAAAAAGCAAGCTATCAGCTGATTATGGTTGAGCTTATCAGCCAACTAGCTGCTTCATTGCCAATGGATCGCTCGCAGTTGAGAAGCGCCTGGCAAATTATTGTCTGACTTCTATTGGAACTTCCAGCTTTCTGCATTTGCTGAATGTGTCCTATTAGATAATAAACTATTAAACAATAGTGAACATTGCGCTGTATTTGAGAAAAGGGTATAATTTTTAACTCATGCGAATATAGTACTTTTTGCTTCTCTTTGCGTTGCATGACTCTTGCAACTCTTTCGTCTTTCTTCATTAGAGGGAAAGAATACCCCTCGCACGCGATATTATTGCGAAAAAAAACATGGGCGCATTCAAGAACAGAATCAAATAACAACAAGGTGAAATATGAACTTTTGCTTGAAAAATACCGCTAGAACTATATGTAATTGAATCGGAAACCCTCCAGGATGTAAATATTTGGACATCGTGGGACTCCATGCTGTCGAGGCGACAGAAGGCGTGCGCATAACAAATTGGGATCATTTTGTGAGAATACCACGCGACGACGCTACTGACTCGCCTCATTCTAAGATTGTTTATCGACGTATGCGACAAATATTCTTTGCTTGCTGAAAAACAACTTAACAAAGGCTCTATCTATTAATTAGCCAAGCGGAAAGGAATTTTATGCGTATTGATTCGGAAGTGTCTACTGGACGTTATCGCCTTGTTTACCACATTCTACTCTCTACTCGCAGTTCTGTTTTTCGAAAGCGTTCCTCATGGGTCTTTTTCCGGATTGTAAGTCTTGTATTTTGAGTTTCTATGTTCTGCCGAGTTGAAGATCTTTCGAGAAGAGAAGTAATAGTATGGTTAAGCCAAACCCTTTTCATTGTTTAACGCGCACTTTTAAAGGTCTTTAAAGAGTTGGAACAAGCTCCATTGGTTCAGTCGAAGAATTAGGCTTCAAAAAGCAATTTCATTTATCGAATAATTGCTCTTTGAATCATTTCTTGGACATGAGGACTTGGGCTGCCAACAATGATCACGAATATTACCAATCATTTCATGCATGGTTTATTTTTCACTATCGATCCTTTAAGAGTTTGCTGCTAATTTCTCCCATTTACTTAGATATAGTCTTCTTAAAGAAATAGGCCATAATTTCCATGAAAGATGTTTTTACATCTTTGAATGAACTGAAGAGGGCTGAAATTTGGTGTTGCTTCATTTTCTTTGAAGAAAAAAAAACTTTTGAAATCAAATCAATTAATGTTTTTTTTGTCGGAATGAATGCATATCAATTTAGAGAGGACAGCTGTCTCAACTAAAAATTTAAAATCATGAAAATTGTGTCCCAGAAGTTGTCGTGATAGACGTAAATCGCAAGAGAAGCTACCGTCTATGACTCATAAAATTAAAATATGAAGGTTGAGAACCTGGAAGCACTAAGAATAATCTAGAAGTCGCAAAGAGCTAAAGCTTGTGACAGTCGCATGAGCGGGGGAAGAGTTTAGGCATTGGAACCGATAGATTATTCCTGCATATCAACCTTTCCCTTTCGAATGCCAAATGTGTTATTGACGGCCTTAGTAATGATCGCATTATACAGTGCAGTAAGTGGAGAAGAGGAGGGAGGGAAGAGGGGAGAAAGTCATAAGAAGGGGTCTTTGCTTTAAATCACTCTTATCCCAATGAATAACTTGGAAAATCTACTTCTGAAACCTTCCCGCTTGATATTTTTGTGGGAAGTACAAACTTAGAATGACCTTCAAAATGTTTGAAAACAGTTCTTCTTCACCTTCAAATAACTGTAGAAAATAATAGCATTTTCAGATAAATTGAGCTGCGCACAAGTCCCCATAGGTGACTGGAGTATCGTCTCCTACGACAGGAATCGAAGTGAACCCTCTGCACGACTGGCTGTTGTTCCAAAATCGCCCACAGCTGTGCACTTCGGTGAGCTTTTTTCCTGCTTGTTCCTTTTCTAAAAAAAGACTTTCTTAAAATGCATATCTAATCACATCACTTTTCTTGTTTAGATGTAGAATCAAGGTCGTTAGGTGGCGGAAAGTTCCGAGATTTGGTCAAATTCAATCCAACAAAACCTGGGCCAAACCTTTTGGATGTCTACTATGGCGGTGACAAAGTGGATGAGATCTATTATGAGGTAAGAGTGTTAAGAGTTGCAGAAGTAAAGGTTTTTAATGCCTGAATAAAAAACATTTTAATAAAAATAGATATCAAAGGATCTCATTTTA